AAGCCCTGAGCAGGCTTATCTTGGTCCAGAAGTTTGGGAAGAGGATTGCGGCTATTTTGGTACTCTAGAGAAGATTCAGTCTTAAGATTTTGTTCTTGGGGTTTTTCTTCTTCTCTGGCTCTTGATTCTGAATGTGGCAAATCCTCATTCTGAATACTCAAAGAAGACCTGTCTCTAACAACTACAGTCTCTTCTATCTTGCATTCTCTATCTGCTAACTGTGCTGGAGATTGTCTGTGATGGTAGTCTACAACGTTTGAGTCTGCTGAGAGTGTCTCCCTTTCTGCAAAATCCAGCGGTGGTGGGGCATCCCTACCCCTAAAATCCTGATCAGCCTGAGGTTTTGCCCTATTTCTGAAATTTGAGTGGGCTATATCTCTGTCTCTGAAGTCTGAATCAGCCGCACCCATATTTCTCAGATCTGTATCAGGTACATCTCTTTTCCTGAAATCTGAATATGGTTGCTCTCTGCCCCTATAATCTTGTTCAGGCATGTCTCTTGCTCTAAAGTGTGGGTGTGATCCGTCTCTATTTCGGAAATCCAAATCAGATGTTCCCCTAGTACGACAATCTGATGAAGTATCATCTCTGCTTCTATAGTTCACTGTATGAGCTTCCCTATCTCTATAGTTCATTCGGAATGTATCCCTATTTCTATAATCCATAGGAGGAACATCTCCTCCACTATACTCCACAGCTTGGCCTTCTCTATCCTGAAAAGTTCCAGGATACATCTCCCTACCCCTAAAGTCTGGAAGGAGTGGTACCCTAGCTCTGAAGTCCAACTGTGAATCATCCCTACTCTGAAAATCTGAAGGAGAGTAATCTCTGCTTTCAAAGTCATGCATATGACCCTCCCCACCTCTGAAGTCACTATGTGGTCCATCTCTACCTCCAAAGCTGAAAGTAGATTCCTCTCTGTTCGCAAACTGAGGATTGAGGATGCCTGGGAGTCCCTGGATATCAAAAGGAAGTGATTCTCTGCCAGAGAAGTTGCCAGAGTGTCTTTCTTGAGCAAGACTATCAAGGGGAGGAGAGTAATCCCTGTTCCACCCGGGAGCAAATCTTTCTTCTTGGCTCCCACTGTAGAAATAAAGACAGTGTTATTCATAATGTCCTTCGAGTTTGTAATCTACACATCAGCATGTTCTTCTCTAACTTTAACAGAGATGTTCAACAGTAAGATCCGCAGAAGATAGTGATGTTTGGTACTTTAAGAGGTGGTAGTATACGACAGGCGTGATAAGTAAACTTGCGCACTCTTATGTCACCATAATTCCCAGAAGAACTCAACATGGAATACCTGAAATATTAATGAGTTAAGGTAACAATCTACATAGTCTCATAATAAATTAAATTGGGAACTTTTAGAGAGTTTAAGAGGCCACCATAATTATTTTGCATGCTCCTCAGCCAGGGAATATTCCTTAAACCTGGTTTTATCACCATTTTAAAAATAAATCAAAAGGAATTCTTATAAGCTCTCCTATAATAATGAATTCCTTGTTCAACAATCAAAGAAAAGGTTATTAATACAAGGCACTATTTCAATGTATGAGGACTTCCACTCTTGTCTTTCCAATGTTACGTACTACTTATTACCAGTTGGAACTGAAAGTATACTACACCATTTTACAGCAAATTACATTTCGTAAGTAATTTCACAATTGTATAAAGATGGAAACAGATAATATTCTTGACAGTATTCCTTTGCTGGTATAATTTTTTATTAAAATGTTTGCTTTGGCAGGTGGTCTGAAGAATTTTATTTTACCCTTAACATAACATGATTTATTTAGGACACTTAACTCATTCCTAGAGAAAAGTGCACTTAATGTGTTTGAAATTAAGACTCAAAATTATCTCTAGTAAACTCAGTTTGCAAAAATTTGAGCAAATAATTTATTCAAATATACTAAGAACTATAAATATAAATGTTTTGTTGTTTCCTTTTATTTTTCCAGTGGAAGAATTGACCCTACTCCTGATATTGATGGTTTGTACAATTCCTTACTAAAACTAGAAGATCTTGAGTTACTAAATTGGAAGGATACAAATTCATAAAAACTTGAAAAAAAAACCCTGAAGACAATTTTTCTTCCGAAACTGGTCCCTGGGGCCAGAAAGATTGGGGACCACTGGTATACATTATAAAAAAAATTAGCAATAAAACAGCATAAAATAACTTCAGTCTTTCATTTCCCCCACAACAGTCAATAATGTAATATTCTTTCCAGTATACCTGTTATATTGAAGAAAAGTTATTTACACTAATAGATATGATCCAATGATCAAAAATGATCAAGAATATGCAGCTACAGGTGGTCCTTGACTTATCACAACAATTGGGGACAGAGATTGTCATTTTAGATCAGCATGGTTATAAAGCGAGATATTATTATAGCGATCCCAGCCATCCCCATTGTGGCCATTAATCAAAAATTGTGGATTGTTAAGCGACCAGTCAAGGCATTCAAGGCTTGGTCCCTCTCAATACCGAGCCTCAGTAAAGGAAAGGACTGTCTCCAACTTCTTCCACCCACTACAGTATTTCCCTCCCATCTTTGCCCCTTGGCTGCTTGCCTCCTGCTCCAACAGACCTTTCCCATCTTTTTTTTCCTGCTGCTGTTGAGATATGCCCAGCCCTTTCCACCAAAAAGCCCCTTTGCATAAAAGCTACAAAAGAAACTCCCTTTGTACTAGGTTGGTAGGCTCAGCTAGGATGGGGCTTCCTGGCACACCATGGTTCTCGGGCTGCTTCTTGTTTCCCTGCATCTTACTTGTGCTTCTTGCAGTACCCTGAGCTGTGGCAGGGCTTCTTGGTGAACCTCAAGAAGCAGAAGCAAGCAAGTAAACAAGCCAGAAGCAGCATCAGATCCGCAGCGGGTCAGGAAGCTCTGGCCCAAAAGCATGGTGAGAAGGGCTTGCTTTTGCCAGCTTTATACAAAGGCGCTTCTTGGCGCAAAGGGCTAGATTGGGCACAATTCATCAGTAGCATGGAGCACCCAAAGATCTGTTGAGGTGGCAGAGTATACTGGGACTATTAGGACATAGATGTGAGGGTATAGGCAGATGGATCAGTTGAAGCCTCCTAGCTTCGTAAGTGTGGATGGACTGCCAAGTGCCCAAATTTTATCATGTGACTTCAGGGGCACTGCAATGGTTGTAACTTTTGACACAGATCATAAGTCTCTTTGTTCAGTGTCCTGGTAACTTCAACCGTTGAACAAATTATTGTAATTTGAAGACTACCTATATTCAGATTGAAAGCACAAAAGATATTTCAAATCCAACATAAATATACTTGTACAATTCAGAAGCTCCTTAAACAAGTTGCACCTTTCCCATAGAAATTAAAGACACATTAATTTATGGGACCTGTTCAAGCCTAGGAAAAGGTGTAGCTTTTAAAGGAGTTTATAAACTCTCCAGAGCAGCGGTCACCAACCGGTGGGTCATGGCCCACTGGTGGGCTGTGAGAAAATTTTGATGGTCCACAGAGAAACCTCACTCCCAGAGCACCCCCCCACAAAGCAATTAATCCAGGCTGCACAGAAACACAAGGCTGTGCTGCCCACATGGCCTGCGGCAACCCTCCCTGCCCACTCACTCCTTACCCAGCAAACTTGCCTGCTAAATTGCTATTTTTCCTTTTTCCGACCATCAGCTGTTCTGCTGTGCCGGGAGATTTAAATTAGCTAGGAAGCAGTAAATGGGTGGATTTCTTGCTTTCTGGCTAGTCTTTAGATCTTCAGCTCTGCTTTTAAGCACAGCTGCACCTCCCTTGAGACTGAAGGTTTTATTATTCAGTGCAGACTCACGGCAAGCAAATTTGAGAGACTGAGCTAGCCAATGGCAGATAGATCACTGAATGAATCTGTGATTCTGTGAGCAACTCAATCTGTCTGCCTGCTTTGCCTGAGTTTGGGTAAAAGTTGCTCTTTTATTATAAAAATTTCAATATTTACATACATGGTATGTTGTGAGTTAATTTTGTAAGTTTGCTTGCTAGCAAATTTTATGAGTTTGCTTGCAAGCAATTTTTATGTGACAGATTGAGCTAGCCAATGACAGATAGATTTCTGAATGAATCTGTGATTCTGTGAGCAACTCAATCTGCCTGCCTGCTTTGCCTGATTTGGGGTAAAGTTGCTCTTTTTTTATAAAAAAATCAATATTTATATAAAAATTTGTATTTACATACAAGCCATGCCCAGCCAGTCACATGACCAAACCACACCCACAAATTAGGCCGTGCCCACAGAACCGGATAGTGGTCCCTGGGATTTAAAATTATGTGTTTGGTGGTCCTGAGGTCCAAAAGGTTGGCGACCCCTACTCTAGAGTATACGCATATGGTAGAGAGAGAGAGAGAGAGAGAGATGGCAAAAAGCTTTTGCCCCAGAAATGATCATCAGAACATTTACAAAAAACAATTCTTTATGATTGCTTAATCCTGCAGAATTGTACTGATCTTTTATAGTATATCGATCAAGGATTGTACATATTCACCACTATCACTTTATACTGGGGAACCTCAGGTACTGGTTAACAAGTTAAGAATGTCCTTGCTTGTGTAAGTAGCACTTACAGAAACAGTTTAATTGTAGTAGGCTAATTTACTTTCAAGTGTATCTGTGGAACCTCAATCATCTAGGGCAGGAGTGTCAAACTCGCATTGTCACAGAGTCGTCACGTGACGTATCGCAACTTTTTTCCTGTTTGCTAAACCAGGTGTGAGCATGGCCAGCGCATGATGCATCCAGCCATGGGCTGAGAGTTTGATACCCCTAGGCAATATTTTTTTCCAAGGCCCACATGAGAAACTGGGATTGTTGTGGAGTGCTGAACCAATGTAACTTAATTTGATGTTCTCAAGCTCCATCAGTTCATCTCCTCAGGCTGCTCCAGAATAGGGATGAGTGCTGGGCAGCACAGAAAAGTGCTTTCTCTCCAACTGACTGATGGAACACGGAGCGACTGCTTTAAAGCCAGACCTGACTTGGCTTCTTCTCCTGCCCAATGCAGAATGCTTTTTACATTTGATTTCTTATTTCCGATTAATTTCATGAGCACCGGAAAGCAACAGCCAAAGGGCCAGATGTGGCCCGGGGGCTGTAAACCGCCCAGGTCTGATCTAGGGTCTACAAATCTTAATGCTTTCTTGTACTGCTTTAGAGAAGTTTAAATCTAAAACTGTAAGTGGAGTTTAATAATTAATATTCCAAAATTCACAAATGTCATTGATCAATAAAGGTAGTCCTTGATTTACAACCATTCATAGTTATAATGGCACTAAAGTAAAATGACTTATAACCTGTTCTTGCACATACAACCATCACAGCATGTCCATGGTCAAGTGATCAAAATTCAGGCAACTGGCAACCAGCATGTATTTACGATACTTGCAACATCCCGGGGTCAAGTGATTGCCATTTGCAACCATCCCAGCCAGCTTCTGACAAGCAAAGTCAAGGCGGGAAGTAATGGTGGCAAAAAAAAAGTCATAAAATCGAACACAATTCTCTTAAACCCCACCTTACTTAACAATGGAAATGTTGGTCCAAATGTGGTTGTAAGTTGAGGACTACCTATAAAAGGTGTAAAATCATTTTTCTCCTACATTTAGAGAACAAGTACAAGGGGAGACTGTACAGAAAGCTCAATGAAATATGTACATTTATATTTGCAAAACATCAAAGTTTCGCATCAAACCACTGTTTTGGAAAACATATGTGAAATATGTCAAAGATAATAAAGAGTTGATAAACAAAGCAGCTGATAAACAAAAATTAACAGGCCAGACAAATACTATGGGTTTACAGAAGTGTTTGCAGAATCTAAAGCTCAAATTACCAATGTCTTAAATGCTTTTACAACATTTAAAGATCTCTTATCATAGGTTTGAAATAAAGGGTGATCTCAACTTCTTTTGAAATAAATTTAAAAGATACAACATTGAGAGATATAGTCCTTATAATCACAACTGCAACTGAAATTTATGGTGTTAGTCACTGCAGTCATAAAGAGAGTCAGTTCTGTTTTCACAACTTATATAGCAGTCATTAAGTGAATCCAGCTTCCGCTATTGCTGTTTTTGCCACAAATATGTCATAAATTTTTTTTAAAAAAAAATCCCATAATCACATAATTGCAGGACACTGCAACTGATTGTAAATGCCAGCTAGTTGCTAAATGCCCGAGTTGTGATAACATGATCATGGGGGTAGTTCAAACCTTGTACGCATGAGTATAGGTCATAAATTACTTTTTCTGAAGCTGTTGTAACTTCAAACTGTCATTAAATGAACAGTCATAAGTGAAGGGCTACCGATACTGAGGGAAGGAGAACATTACACATATAGCAGTGTACCGTAATATTATTTCACTTCTTCCATGGCAATACCCCACATTATTTTGAAGGATCATCCAAGCCTCTGGAATTGATTTCAGGGGTATAATAGGTTTTGGTGAAATTCATTCAAGTGTAAGAAACACTGGCATTAAATTAAAAGCCATTTTCTCATGAGAGACTACTATTGAATAAAAAAACACAGAATCAGCAGAAAATAAATTCTTGTGGTTTCTGAAAGGAAACCTATCAGAAAATTTATGAAAATATAATCTTTTTTAATAATAAAACTAAATAAACATGCTCAGGGACATCTGATAAATATTCTAAATTTAGAGATGTTTCAGGCAGATTTTATTTATTAAAAGATAGGTCACTGAAGATTTTTTTATAACTTAGCAACTACAGGTAAGACATTACATTATTTTAGGATAATTTGTTAAAGGAGTAAGAAGAATGAAATACAACACTGTATGACAATCTTCCCTACAAAAATGTTCAAAGCCTATCCCAATTTTTCCTGGAGAGTTCAAAAAATGATGCCTAAAAGGAAATGGGGATTACCTTTCTCCACATAATTCACCTGAATTACAAAAGGAATTCTGTGGCAGGAAAATTTAATTTAAAACTACGCCAGATCTCTAGTGCAAATATCAATGCAGGTTTTGCAAACTATTGCAATTTAATATTCACAATATATGGAATCAAATATCTACAGCTAAATAACCAAGCTGCAAGTAGCAATCAATAATAAAAGGTTATGAAATTTAAAGCTAATTGACAAATATATTTCTCTAAACTGGATAATCAGCACAGCAACTCAGTATGAAAATAATGATCAGCAAGCAACAATTCTTATTTTTTAGAAGTTTGAAATAAGATACACTTAATAGTACTGGAAATGTGCAAATCGGACATATGTTAGAGCTTTGTTTCAGTACTACCATATGGTGACAAAGGTGGCAAAATGTGTATATATATTTTTCACCCTTATCACATCACTCAGGGCAACTTAGCAGGATGGAATCTGAGGTGCACCTAAAGAACTACTGTGAAAAATGTTCTAGAGATCTGTTGGATAAAATTGATCATATTTGCTCCAAGTTGGATGTCAGCTTTCTGATAAGACTTATGGACTTGACAGAGGCATGTCTGGTTCTGTTATCTGGTATGGATTTGAGCCTGTTAAAGCAAGCTATGAACTTGGCCACTGTATATAAAATACATGTCCCTCTGGTTGGCTAAGATTTCCTGGGAGATGATACATGGCTGCATCCAGAGTGGTGAATTCATACTTGAGGAAAGGTGGATACTTTAAAAAACAGTGTTCCACTCTCTTACTGGGTGATATTGACAAATACGAACACAAAACTGCTTCAAAATAACTATATGCCTTTCTGGAATGATATTAAAAAGGACTTATTAAAATGGAATAAACTGCATTTATCACTATAGGGTAGTAATTTCTGTAATTAAGATGAATGTTTTACCAAGGATGCTTTTTTGTTGTTTCAGACATTACCAATATTTGCAAATGGTATTCCATTTAAACAATGGCAAAGGATATTTCTAAGTTTATATGGCAAGGGAAAAAACTGTTATGGTTTTCCGGCAGCAGATGAGGATGGCAGAGGTCTCTTAACAGCAAGGACGAAAGGGAACCAGTCAGGGAGTCTGGTGAGGACTTGGACGAGGGTCCTGCGTCTGATGCAGGAATGGGGCCAGGACTATTGGAGAGTGGGAGTTTTGGAGTTTTTGGAGTCTGGCATCAGTGAAGCAGAGGACGCTGGGGAGCCTGTTCCCAGTGCACGTGTGCGCAGGGCTGCTCGAAGGAGAGAGCAGCTGAAGCAGCAAGGGCGACTCGGGAGTAAGGCTGGAAGGTGATTGCCCCTCCCATAAGGGAAAAAAAACAGTCCTCGGGGATGTGCTCTTTGCAGGAAGCAAAGAAGTTCTTTAGACTCTAAGTCCTTGTTGAAGCCTTACGAACTCCGGTTTGTTTTTGAAACTTCCGTCGGTTGGTATTTATCAGTAATTAGACTTCTGTTCTTGGCAGCCTTTTACAACCTTGAAAGGGTTTGCTTTTATCTCGGACAATTAGGTTTAAATGACTCTTGGCTGGGAATACAAAGAATTCCCAGCGCCACATTAAAAAAGGTTTGCTTTTATACAGTTTGTGTTTGTTTAATTTGAACAAGGCTTGGGTCAGAACAAAACCAAGAATTAGATATATACTACAGCAAGATATTAAAGAAAGAGGGGGTTTAGGTTTACCAGATTTGAAACTGTATTTCGATATTGATTGTTTGGTCTGGCTAAGAGTGGGTGAACCTCCAGAACAAGAGGCTACTTGATTTAGAAGGTCATGAATTCAGATTTGTATAGCACCGTTATTTATGGTATGAGAAGGTTAAAATAAAAGTTGAATTTAACAACCATTTTGTTAGATGTGCCATTCTAAGATTTGGAATAAATATAAAACAAGGTTTTCTATGAAGATGCCTCTTTGGGTATGTCCTCAGGAAGCCTTTTTCAGAAAAGAAAGGATGGCGAAGCCGAATTGGTAGACTTATGGTAAAATCATGTTTTAATTTTGGTGATCCTATCCTCAAGTCTAAGGAAGAGCTAGAGGCCATTGGTTTACATATTTACAATTGAAAGAAGATTTAAATTAGACAGAGAGAGTTATAGGTTTGACTTTATTAAAAACGAATTGGAAATCCTACTGTGTGGTAGTGATGAACATATTATTGCTAAGGTCTATAAAACATTATTGAATTTGAATTTGGAAAGTGAATATGTAAAGCATTGTTATTATTCACTGGGCAAGAAATTTTGAATATAATGTAAAGCTTGAACAATGGGATAATATGTGAACAAAAGGTTTAAAATTTACACTACATTACAATTTAAATTTTTAAATTACAATTTAAAAGAAATTTCCTATAAGATTATGTTTTGTTGGTATTTAACATCAGATCATGAATATATAAAGGCACTTCATGGAAATGCAAATGAAGAGAAGGGATTCTTTATCATTTATGGTGGACATGTAATAAAGCAAAGAAATATTGGAGTAGGATTAAGAAGATTCTTAAAGTAAATATAAAGATAAAACCAGAAACTTTTTTTGGTGGGGGGGGGGGTTAATGGAAAAAGACTTGGGGGGGAATTGGAACTTTGATGCTATATATGTTGACAGCAGCAAGATTACTTTATACACAAAAATGGAAGGACACTTTGATCCTCACAATGGACGAATGGCTCCCAAAGTTGAATGGAGTTAGCAGAGGTGGCTAAATTGACAGCTTTGATAAAAGAAAAAAACACAATTACTTTAGTTTCTGCTTCTCAGAAACCGCTTCTGAGCTTTGTGCCTGAGGTAGAAAAAATTAAACTTTTTGGCGTTTTACTGATTAGAAAGAATTGTGGTTATAGAAATGACTACTTTATATTATTATTGTAAAAATAAAAAGTTAAGCTTTGATGTTACTATTTTATTTTATTGCAGCAAAGGGAGTCAGAAGTCAATGACTTTTCTTTCTTTTTCCCTTCTTTTTCACACTTTTCCCTTCCCTTCTGCCCCCTATTTGTCCTATTATTTGTTTTTGTATTTTATATTATAAACTAATAAAAAGGACAAGTTGCTAAAAAATATAAAAAGAAAGCCCTGAAGGAAATGGTTTATCTGCAAATCTTTCAATTAGCTTTGAGGCCTGAGTAGGAGATTGAAACTTCATTGACTGAACTTGTGTATAATCACTGATGAGGGAGAATGCTTCCATACTTGATCTCCATCTCAGTGGCTTTCAGTATTCTTCTTAGCAAGCCTAGGGAATAGAGAGAAAGAGACTGTGGTGCAATGATTCCCTTTCTTCCGAAGTTGTTAGTAAAGGAGAGATCTGACTCCATATTCCTCCTTTGTACAATCCCTCGGGATTCTCTCCCCATTCCTGTGTAACCTCAACATAGAGCTGATGGATGAGATAATCTGCCAGAGTTAGGTATCACCAGTATGTATGAATTCATCACAAACGGAATTGGGAGATACTTGGCTCATTTCCTGAATGGATTGCTTCAATATACTCAATACACAGCTGCTCTTGATGGCCACTCAGAAGTTTATACTGGTCCAGAATGCAGTGGCATGGAAAATTATGGAAGCAAGAGTTCCCAGTAGGCTTCCAGGTGCAATTCAATGTACTGATTATCAGCTATAAAGCCTTTCATTATTTGTAAGACTGCCCTTCTCCACTTGTTTTTTCTTGACCCACTGGCTTTGGCAGGTTGGGGCATGCTCTGGATGTCATCTATTAAACAGTACCATCTGGCAGGAAACTGGGAGTGAGCTTTTTCTTTCACAGTTCCTGCTGGTTATTGGTACACAATAACAATGATATTTGTTTGGCTCTGACCCTGTTTGCATTTTATAAATCCTTGAAGACCTGAATGTTCTCCCAGGCATGAGGTCTATATAGATTGGGTGAGCCCATTGTTGTGATTGTCTTTGGCATTACTATAGTTATGTGCTTTTATTGATCATTCTCGAATGCTGCTGTGTTATTACTGATCATATTATTATTATTCATTATTTTAGCTTGGAGTTTTGATTCCTATGTTCATTGCCCAGAGTCATGATTCCGAGGTAGGTAGCTCTATAAATTGATAGAATAATCCTTTGCAAATGCAATTTGATCACAATCTGCCCATTTTTAATCTCTCTGACACTGTTGAACATACACAACAATTAACAGACCAGAATAGGACCAGGAAATGCAAAAAGGAGAAGAGATACAGTTCACAAGGAGAAAAAAATACAAATAATGCTTACAATTATTTATATGATCTTATTTATAGATAAATGAAACAGGATAGAAACCCAGTAACAAAAGTGACTAAAATTCTAAAATGTGTAAATAAAGTTAAGACTGAAATGCTGTAAAAAGAAAGAAGGGATGGGATGATAAGAAAGGGAATGTAATGGAAAATTCAGTTAACATTGTAGGTTCAGGTAAGAATGGGAATCTGAATGATTAAAAATTAAATAGTCATAGAAAATTCTGAAACACACAAACATACAAAAAGAGATCCTGTGAAAGAATGAAGTGTCCATATGTGGAGAATTCTGAATCAGTGACAGGATAGTTAAGATACAATTGTCCCAACTCAGCTGATTTAGAAAACAATGTGCATTTCCTTAATCAAGTTGTACTAAAACACTAACTATAATACTAAAAAAATGTAGAAGAAGAATGTTTTAGGCACTGAAAAAAGCAGGGCATCAGTGCAAGGCAGATCTCCGTAAATAAATTATTTCATTAGTAAGTCACAATTAAGAAAGCATCTCTATTTGTCCAACTTATTTGTCCATTCATAAGAGGGCCTCCAAAAATGTTGAGATATTTTGTCTTTAGTCTCTGAAAATTGGTACTGAAATTAAGATAAAATATGCTACAGTTCTTACAAACGACATCATTTTTAGAATCTCCCATTTTCATATTTCTTGTTTTGATGTTCTTTAAAAAAATTATTGCTACTATATAAACCTGGTCACCTAATGATCTTTTCTCTCATCAAATAACATTCAACAGGAACATACTTTACAATGCTATATTGTATGATGAACCTAAGACAAACGTTATAAGACTCCTTTCAACAATATGCTATTCTCAGAAATCCTTTAAGATGTAGATTAACAGCGTCAAACTTATAATGACACCTTGTCATCATGTGACATATCGCAACCGTTTCCCCACTCGCTAACCCAAGGGTCGATGTGACTAGCGTGTGATGTATCTGACTCACCGGCACCAAGTTTCATAACCTGATGTAGACACTTCCATATGCTTTTAGGATGTTAGTCCCAAATGGAATGCATCCAAGTGTTCTTACTGCCTCATCTATCTTACATTATTGGTAATAAGGTTTCTGGTTTGATTAATTTTCCCTAAGCAAAAGATTATAGATTTCCTGTTGTACAAAAAACTATGTACAACCCCCCCCCCCCGCCCCAAAGCCATGCAAATATTCTACAAGATGAGAAAGTGTGACAAATAGTCAAATTTTAAGCTGGTGTAAAAAAAATACCACCACCCATAGAACAGCATTCCATAAACAAGATGCTGTAAGTAAGAAAGCCCTTTCCCATATTTATACCTCATATGACGTTTTGGTGCTATGGTGGGAGGTGATGTTTTCTTTGTAGTGTGGAAGTACTGATTTATTTTTGTCTTTTTATTGGCTGTCATTGTGAGCCACTAAGATAATTTTATATAATATTGGTGGCTATACAGTAAAAGTTCAATAAATAAATAAAACATACAAGTCTACCTAAATCATGTCCTCAAATCTTTAGGTCCTAAACAATTTGGGTATGAAATAACATTACATCACTTTGAATGTGGATTGAGAGTACACTATAAATCAGTGCAGTAGCTATATTTTATTAAATTATTTCATAATGGTTAAAGTAAATCTTAAATAGCATCTGCACAATGAACCTTCCTGGGCTTGCTCTTTCTTGCAAGAGCTGCTGTTGGGGATCATCATTGTCTAGAATGGACTAGGATGAGGTACAGGAAGAGGCAACCAGATGGGGGAAGTCTGATGCATTTGGTAGGGAATGGCTGCAAAAGCAGAAACACTTTCCCACTGTTTACAAGTATCACTGAATTGAAGCCACCATCAATATTCTGGTATGAACTAGAAGTATAATTTTTGAACTATTATAATCTATGATCTTATTAATCATTATCTTTGATTCACACTTATTTTTCTTTTACTAAATTCATCATTAAAAAAGTAGTTGATAAATCCATGCACCTTTTCAAATTCTAGCAAGTCACATCATACTCTTTAATCTGTGCAGTAGGGTTTTTTTTTTGTCAATAAATATATCATTTTAGTATACTTGGGTCACTACTGATCAAAGAAGTCTTTTATAGAACATGATCAATATTTTGCTTAAGACTTGTGTATGCAACTTGTATTTTAATAATATTCAGCAATCCTGAGCCTACAGCACTTGATATTTCTGATCTATGCCAATCCATCCTGAAACTACTCCATACTTCATTGGTACCTCCATAGATTTGTGCCTATCCAATGTGCATTTAGTAGGCATGCTATAGGAATCAAATGTAAATACATCTGCTTTTGTCTATTTTTTAATTATTGCACATTAATAATTTCAATTCATTTTCCCCAAAACTAAAAATGTGCTTTTCATTATTACTGTTAAATTTCTGCCTTTAGGTTCCCAGTCTGTGATATAATGAATGAATATTTGTTTTCTTATATTTTATTAATTAAATTGCAATTAAATTGAGACAACATAGTATGGTAAACTATAAACTATGGTTTATCACAGTAGTTAGGTTCATACTACATAATATACTAAAACAAAACAAGTCTTGCTACAGCATAGGCCGATGATGGCGAACCTATGGCACGCATGCCACAGGTGGAACACAGAGCCATGAGCCGCAGGCAGACTTACCTCATTGCACATGCGTGCACCTCACAGCTGATTTTCGGCTGGTTTGAGGCCTTTTCTGGCTTCTCAGAGGCTTGAAAAAAGCCTCTGCAGGCTTTGCAGGCCAAATATAGGCCTGTTTTGTCGCTTCTTGTAATACTGGAAGTGATGAAATGGGCCTATTATTCGTCCTGCAAAGCTTGCAGAGGCTTTTTTCAAATCTCTGGGAGGCCTCAAACCGGCTGAAAATCAGCTGTGAGGCGCAGTGCAGATAAGGGGGTGGCAGGGGGAGGGGATTGCACACGCATGCACAGGGGGTGTGGGGGAACACATTGCCTTCTGGGTGCTGGCACGTGAGCCCAAAAAGATTAGCTACCACTGGCATAGGCTGATGTGTGAATTCAGAAAATATACAATAATTGCTGTTAGTAACTTTTCAGAAGTTCTAGAAGACTCTATAATAGTGTAAGGTAAAAACCAGAAAGCCACAGCAAAGTACTAGGTAGCCTCAAATGTATGTCAAACTAATTGCTCTTTGATCATATAAAAATGAAATTATCTTATTTGACCATGCATAATGTCCTAAAACTAGGCAAACACTTCTCTGCATATTAAGACCAAAGCAACTCAAAAAAAGTTTCACATATCTCTGTAATATGCAATACCATAAATTTCTCTTACTTTTTTTAAATACCATTTAAAAAACTGCACTAGCATAGTTATATTTCTCCAAGAGCATTCTAATTACATTTTTATTATGGGCATCACATCTTTGAGTTGCACATGGTGTAATTATACTGAATATATTCATAGGACAAAAGTCAGCCACACTAGACAAACCAAATAACACAATATGTTAAACTATTGAATGTTTCCTTTTGAATCTTTCAGCCATAAGCTACAATCCAGGTGACATGTAACTTTTCATTTTTAATATTACATGTAATTCTCTAAATTCTTGGATTCTATTAATCCCATGAAGAGAAAGTGCTATTTCAAGCACCTAAGCTATGTACATAAAGAATCTAATTTGCTGTTACTGTACATAAGCAGGACCACCTGCAAAATGTTGCCGTTTAGGTTGTTCCTGTTCAACATTTCAGCTAGGTCTTTCCTCCTCTATAATGTTCCATTCAATTTCCCTTCACTTATCTCTTTTCTGGAAAAGCATCAACTACCCTCCCCCAAATCCTACTTTTATCCAGTTGTAGTAAATGGTATTGCACAATGTCAATGTAGGACTGCTATCATCAATAAATATATTTCATATTAAAATACTTACCGGAAAGGACCCATTCTATTAGTTGAATGAGGATGTCCCCACATTTTGTTCCAACAGACACTAGATAGCAAATTCTGAAGAATCTATGGAATAGAAGAGTAACAAGAACAAAACGTAATTATCCTAAGTAAGCTATCTAAATCAGCAGGCATATTAGCTGATCAATCTATTTAAATCTTTCATATTTTCTTGAAACACTTAGCTAAAAGTAATTCTGAGAGTTTATTTCAAATAATAAGATTAATTCAGAATTTCTAGGGTTCCATCTAGTTCACCACTACATACTATTGAAAGTGACCAGAGAGAAGTTTGAATTGATTCCAAAGAATTCTCATGTACCAGTTACATTATATTTTACCTTACTCAGAATGCTCTAATTAAAAGATATAAAAGTCCTTGGTGTTCTCTTAGCATGATTGTTTGCAGACATTTTATTACCTGACTAGGTAATATCATCAGTACTTCTGTGGTTTGTGCCTGTTTATATAGAGTAGGTTTGGAGGGGTCAGGGCTAGAGTTTTTATTGTCTCCTTTCAATGGTGTGTAATTATGGTTTCTATCTATTGATGGGTGATTTGTATATTAAAATATATAATCTAGAAAACAAGCCAGCATCTTTCTCACATAATTACCATTTTTGGGCTTCTTCCAGTTATTTACATCAGTCTCTCCAATTTAGTGGCTTTCAGATACATTGGCTTATATCCTTATTATCACCAAATCAATCTGAAGGCCAGTATATATCAAACAGCTTTTATATTCAGTAAATGTGGTAAACACCTCTTCCCCTCCAATTTTTGCTTCTTCACAAAAGATAGCTAGTTTGCCATTTTCTCAAACAATTAAACTCTCATTTAATTACATTGTGTTGTATAATAGAAACCTCTATTTAGGACAAGCCTCAAACTGCTCTTTTATGGGAGGATTCATAGGAAGTTTCTTAATACAGTAATGAAAACCTAGAAACCAGACATTAGAAATATCAATAGAGAGAAACAAATAGTTCTTTCAGTTAATGTACATTCTGTCTTGCCCGTAAGGTCACATTCTAACCAAGAAAAAAAAATCCTTAAGCAGTAAGACTACATAGCTACTAAATAGAATTCAGTGACAAATGCACACTATTTCTTATTTTCACAAATATGACATTCTCCTTTTAACACAAAATACACAGTTTCCTAGAACAAAGAATCCAAAATCTCCTTGTTCGATTTAGCAAAAGTGAACTGGAATACAGAGCACAAGAAGCAGAGCAAATTATCTGATAAAGACATCCACAACAAGCTCAAGATTCTAATGTATTTAGCAAGAAAACAAATTGCCTACCAGCCTTGCTACAAATTCTAAGCTTACTCCTTAAAACCTCTTCAGCAACTTCAGTTGATTCAGCTCCTGGCAGTATATTTTGTTTATTTTTCTTCCACTTCCACTTGCACTGACCTTGTTTGTTTTTAAACCCAATTCAAAATATTAACTTTAAAGGTCTTTATAATTTAAACCCAAGATGTTCTAAAAGTTCAACAGCTTCCATTAGAGCCTGAAGTTCCCAACAGATACATGGGATTCCCTTACTTATCACTAACTGATTGATGCACAAGACTTGCCATATAGGATAAGATCTCTTCAGCATTGTTGTCTAGATACTGAAGCCATTTTTCCTGCTCAACGTTCAACAAACCTGTGAAAACTATCTTTTTAAATTCACGTTTAACAGTATCATTTTTAAAAAAATGTTAAGTAATTAAAGCTTTATTTGTATGAGCAACAACTATACAAAACCTGATAAAAAAAATTGCACCATATAAACCATGTATTTGCAGGCATGCCTTACTATCAATAACTTTTTTAACAATTATAGATCTAACGCTAACAATTTATGTTTGATAAATATTTTAATACTCAAATGTAAGTATGGCTTAATGAAACTATTTAATTTGCTTTGGTTATATTTATTCAATTTGTACCTGAAATACAAGCATTCCAATTCACATTGATGCAAACATACAAAAATTGCGTAACACTTAATTTGGGGGAGGGGGGAAATACATGCAACAGTTGCCATTTTAGAAAGGAATTCTATCTGTATAACGAAGTGGAAACAGGCTGACAATTAACTACTTTAATTAACGATATGAACAGAACAGATCTGACTACATAACCTCACTAGAGAGCCCAAAGAAGTCCTACTAAGCCCAATTAAATATAACAGCTCTATACAAAGAGGCTCAACAGCAGCGATTTTCCTACGGGAGAAAAACCCGCTTCCGCTTTCTGCACCATTACTTCAAATTACTGACTGCTCCTATTCAAACTGCAATGCTCCTCGACGGCAGAAGGAATAAGCTACCCTAAACAAAGATCAGAGGTATAACAACTGGGCCTGTAGTAGCAGCAGCGGTTCTCAAGGTAATCGGGGAAAGACGTCTTCCGACGCTGTTAACCGAAGAGACGGGCTTTTAAGATGCGTTCTTGTCGATTCCAACCTCTCAGGTAACCGCCCGAGACCCCGGTCGCCCTTCCGTTTCTTTACAACCAGCAACACCCTCTCTCCCCAAACTATTTTTTCTTGGCCCTTTATCCAACTCACCTTCGGAAAACAAAGCAAACACCCCTCCCCCCCGCCTCTCTATTTGCTCCGAGGCGTCACGGCTGGACGTGCGGGAGACTCAGCCTCGGCCGCGGCCCTGTCAGTGCGAAGCGCATTTCCCGCGTATCGTATCTCCCAGGCCAATCCTTCCCTCCCCTCCACCCCCCGCTGACGCCCCTCCCCAACTCCAGAGCGGGTGACGCTCCGACGCAGGCGATGAACAACGGTTAAGCACGTCCCCGCCTCCCCTTCCCCGCCCACCCCGCCGCCGCGCGCGAGGATCCTGAGGAGAAATAAATGCCCACCAGGCAGGCTCAATCCACCGCCACTCTCGAGGCCTTCAGCAGAGCCGCAGCAGAGCTGCAGCACCGAGCCAGACGGAACCGGAACTTCCGCTACATCCTGCCACGTGACGCGCGGCCCCTACGTCTTGCGGGGCGTGGGTGGGGTTTGCGCCTGAGAGACTCGCGTAAAAAACAAGGCGGGCTGCGTTCTTTCCCGAAGAGCCCGCGTTTGGGTCTCCCCTGAGGATGTTTTGTATTAAATGTTTTCCTTCTGCCTTTTAAATCGACTCATAATGTAATTTGGCGTTACATTAATCCCGGAGTGAGATCAAAGATCTGGCAAAGTAAAATCGGGAATAATTTGAGAATGGAAAAATACAGCAAACGCCTCTTAATCTGACGTTTGCAAATATCTTATCTCTGAATACATAATTAATTTATCCACGCCTACCATTACAGACATTATGAATATTAAAACTTTCTAAGCCATGGCCTTATAAATGTGAGCTGCATTGTATTAAAACATCAAATCCTGAGAACAAAATGACATCGTTTATGAAGGTGCTGAAGAGTATTGGGCCTAAGACAGAACCTTGGTACCCCATTGCATATTCCACTCCATACAGATGAAGAAAGTACATATTGACTACAATTTGTCTGCCAGTTACAAATGCATCTGGTCATAATGCTGTCTATCCCACGTTTTTTTAATCTTACCAAGAAGTAGGCTGTGATTTGCCTAATCAAATGCCTTACTGGAGTCCAAGTATGCTATGTTTATAGCATTTAATAGCTTTGTTGAAGAAGCAATAATATTTGTTTGGTAATGGACTGCTTTTGACAAAGTTATCTTGGCTTTTAGTAATAGCTTTGTTTGCTTCCAGATCACAGATCTGTTTCTTGGTTATCTTTTCCAGGCATTGATGTCAGGCTGATTGCTGTTACTTGGATCCACTTTTTTTTTCTTTTTTGAAGATGGGAAGCACATGGAACCAAGAACCAGGAGAAAAATCCAAGAGCATACGCTTTGTGAATATATCACTAGAAATAAAAGAAGAAGGATATGAATTATGAATTAGCAGTCAATTTGTTGTGCGGAAAATATGATTATTACAGTAGATATGTTTGAATTATGTGTAAAATATGTTATATGTAAAAAAATCATAATAATATAATGCATCGTATGAAACAATATCCTTCTGATATATTTGTGGGGGGGAGATAAGCATTATCACTGAACAAAGAATTAAATGCTCCCCAAAGTTAGAGGCACCGGACTTACTTATGGGACCAAAACTCAAGATGAAAAATAAGGAAATTATTTTCTACTTAATTTTAGCAGCTAACCTAATAATTGCCCAACACTGCAAAAGTTTAGATAACTCAGCAACTGAGGTGTGGATTAATACGATCTTTTCAACTGCCACAATAGAAAACATTATAGATAAATTTAAAATAATGAAACACTAAAGGAAGGGGTCACGATTCTATTAAATTTGGGAAAACTTTATATTTTACCTTAATTGTAATCAACCTACTTTGGACAACATTTTAGCTAATAAATAAACATGAATGTTTATATTTATTTCTCTAGTTTTTAGCAGATCTTTTCTATTTTACATATTTGTATTCTCTGTACTGCCTATATTTATGTTAATTACTTGGCAACATTTGCTAACCACAGTTCATTCTCTCTAATATGTCTTGAAGAAAAAGCATCACTTCCAAACTGAAACTCATTAACTTACCATTTTCTTGGTTGAGTAAGCCATATCACAAATACCATAAGCAATTGCTATACAATCCCATAAATGTAATGTCTAGCTCTAGCATATCATGGAAGGAACACCAACTTGGACTTAGGTTGAGAAAATCTGGAAGAGGCTTGCTTTATCCTAGGTTTTTTTAAAATATAGAAATAATGAAATATCCTTTGCCATATACCAAACCAAGTAGTAGAATATAGAATGAAACAAAAATAGTGTTTTGGTATTTTAAATTCAGCTGCTTAATTGTAATAAAAGATGGTGCCTTATCTTGTGTTCCCTTTTAAAACTGCACAGAAGATCACAATTATATTTCTTTAACAGGTGCAAGGTTTTGTAATAATTCTTCTTTAGTATCCAAATAATCTCTTCTTTGGAAAGCAACCCCAGAAAAAAAATATTTTTAAGAAAATGTACGTGTGATGCTCAAGACAGCAAAATAAAAAGTGATATAAGATTTGTACCTTTGTCTATAACATGAGAACACTGACCTCTCGGTGTTCTTTATGTTTAGAAATTATGCATTTATCGCATGTTTAATACCATATCAATTTTATTATATTTTCAGCATTACTAAAGAGATCAAGAAATTCTGAATAGTCTAAATCTATCCTATGTTTCAAATGTTGGCAGATGTGCATCGTTTTTACTTCTCCATTAGAAGCGAATCTCACTTTTCCTCCGTCAAAACAGCAAACTACAGAATTGTGGACTACAATCCCCAAGATGCACTGGGATCTGTGGCATTGAGAAAGCGACCTTTGAAAAAGGAGAAGTAGGTAGTGCACAGTACTTTCCTGGCTGTAGCTGGAGAAGATAGAATCAGCTGGCGAGATTGAACGGGATGCTCTAGACTCCAATGGAAGAATTTCCTGAGATGATCTCTGCTGACTGAACTCCTCCTCCACTTCCCCGGGAGCTTTACGTCCTTCCCGTCCTGCTCAGATTTCATCCACAAACGGAGAAGCAGACTTTCACTGACGTTTTCTCTATCTACAGCTTGTTCCTGTCAAAATTGTAAGTACCCTTTATATTCCTGAACTGAAAGTGTAAGCAGGAAGAAATATACAGAGTTTAGGCCTGTTGTCTAGAGTTTTGCAAATATTCTCAGCGCTGTACTAGCAACTGAAACTTAGCTGTTGTGGCAGATGACAATGAAATGCAGCTTAACTAAATTTCATGCAAATCCTTATGAGATTAGAACCATTTACCAGAGTCTGAAAATTAAACCGAAGTTTAAGTTGTTATTGATGTGATCCAACAGATTTTTCTCTATGATAACACATGGTGGAAGAAAAATGAAGTGAGTTAGCATCAATACACATGCCCAAACCATGTATTAATTTGAACTCACAGTATCATTTAGGAGGGAGAGATTGTACAAAAACACAAATAATTCATGAAGAGAAATCTGCAATTTAATTGTCTGTCTTCAAATAATCTAAATTACCAGCAACTGACTGGTTTTCAGGATCCTTTTCATTTCCAGACAAATAACAAGGTCATTTTGAAATATTTATAGAGTAAATTTTAATTGCCCCCCCTCCCCAGTAACCAGCTTTGGTATAGAGTGCAAACTAAGGGTGAAAGAAGAATTTGCACCAATTCATATTCTTAGGGATACATAGATGCCTGTTCATATTTAGCAGAAAGTTATGAAATGCTTTCAGATACAGAACTGAGAATGGCTTGATTTGCCATTGTTGGTATCAGAGTCTAATTTGGGACTCGAACTGGGGAAAAAATTATGTCATTCTGGGAATTTTTTTAAGCGATTCTATCTGGGTTGCAAAATCTAAACAAGTACTACATGGTAGCAAAGTTAGAATTGTCTATATTGCCTTGGTACCATTTAGTGCTTGACCAGTTTTTTGCTGCTCTGATATGGTTGCTGTAATTCTTTCTCGCTTGTGAACTCAAATGACACTTCAGAAGAAATTCAGCACCAGTTTAAATAGAGCTCCAGATTTAGTCTTATAAATGAATTTTATTTATGTTCTTCATACAACAGTCTTTACCAGTCCATGGAACTAATTTCCTATAAAGAACTCTGTAGGAGCTATTTACCTCATATGCCAGTTCTATAAAGATGCCCTGACATCAAGAATATAAATGGGTTAACTGTGAACCCTCAAAAGCAAATATACACACTAGAAGTCAAGAGGGAAGCAAAAATCTGAATCATGAGTGTAGGAATGAAGTCCAGACTAGCTCCTGCACCAATAAACACTTAATAATTTCTAGATAAGGCATCAGTTAGCATGGAGAAAATGAAAAAGGAACTTTACTAATCGCACTTCATTGAATTACAGAGGGCTAGAGATAAACAAGAACTATAACACTACCCAGGAAGAAGACAACCCTGGAATTAAAATGGCTCTTCTGAAATGAAAGGAAATAAATTATAAACACAGGATAAAAATTTGTGCAGTGCTCAGCTTCCCTACCAATTTAGGATTGCCAGCTAGAATTGAAACCAATCCCAGAGACCCTCCACTTGATAAATATGTTCAACTGATATCCTCATATATGAGTTTACAGATTTTTGTCTTTCTATCTTTGTCTGTGTCCGTTTGTGTGTTTGGTGTACAAAAATGGTGTATTAAAATTAGTTGTATTAATACCTGCGGTACTAGTTAGAAAGAATTGCCAGAAAATTGGTATCTCATTTACCAAATGAGATTAATTTCCAGTTGATTTTCCCATCTGCATATATTATCATCATCATGTTTTCTTGAGACAGATAAAGGACAAACCTGAAAAGAGGACAAATCTGAAAGAAGTTCATAAACATTTAAATTTTATTTACATCTCACATTTAAACAATTGCCATCTCACAAAAAGCGACTCTAGGTGGCATACAACAATGAATAGCAATAGCAACATTATTGCTAAAAACAATCATTATGAAAATGATGACAAAATCATCATTAAAATAAAAAATAAACTATACAAACCATGCAGAGAAAATAAAAGATCTGAAAAACAACTTTCTGAAATAAAAGACTGTCCTATTTATAATAAAGGATGTATTGTCACTGTAGCGCATTTCAACTACTGTTTCTCAGCCATAGAAAACACACGAGATTACCTATATATATATATATATATATATATATATATATATATATATCTTTCCCAGATATAGCAACAAAGAAAAAACTAACAGTATGGAGAAGGTGTGAAGGAAAGAGGTAATTGGAAAGAAAAAATTGGGGGAACAAAACTGGATTAAAAAAGATGAGGTCAGGAAAAGAAGTAGCTGGACATGAAAAAAGAGAAAAGGAAAAAAAATCCCATTGAGGTATTATAAAAAGGATTACATTTTCCTGGAAAACTGTTCTAAGCAAATACTAATCTTCAAAAGTATCCAAGCTTTTCAACAATAATGGCTGTAACTATGTTCTAATCGGTTAAGTAAAGCACAATATTAGGAAAAAGATGCTTGCAATTGAGAAGGAAGTCTGCCAAATTAGTCATGTGCTACATATGAGAGATGTTATCTGTGGTTCACAAATGTTTTTACTACGATAGTGTAACTCTCTTCTATAGGCCATTCTGGCTAGAGCTAATATGGATAAAAATCTAAAATATGTCAAGAGAATCAGATTGCTTAATGTTCCCACATTGGGATTCAAAAAATGTTTCAGAAGTGTGTTAGACCCAGAACAAATATAGCACACTCTGTTAAAGCTGGCACATTTTTTTCAGAATACTATGCTAGTCCCTAAAAAGATATGACTGCTTTAATTAATTTTCTTGCAGTTACGGTGAACGGTTCTACAAAGATGTCAGTGCATTATGGATCTGCTGTAAAAAAATGCCAACATTAAGTTAGGGATAATAAGAAATGGCATTGAAAGTAGAAGTGTCAATATTGTAATGATTACATTATAACATAATATATATGACCATTGGTGGAAAATTGTAACTCCAGTTGCTGCACCTCAAAAAATATATAGTGAAGCTAGAGAAGGTTTGTAGACCAATTAAGATGATCAAGGGCTGAAGCAATTTCCATATCTTTCAGGAAATGGCAGAAAGGTCTGTGTTTCCTCTAAATCCAACGCATTTCTTCCAAAGTTTTGTTGACATATGTGCAACCATATTGTTTAGATCAATATCTTACAATACATCTGATCATCTCAACCAATCATGTTGACTGTCTGACCAGAATTAGTCACTCAGGTTTTTGAAAATGTGTTGGATTCAAAGACTTGTCTTGCTTAATTTTAAGTTTATAAGATGTTGCTAAGGGACTTTTCATCATTACTTTCTAATGGTCAGGGAGGAAAAAGGAAGGACATTTCATCTGAAAACCTTTGGGCTGCTCAGTTTGTTCCTGGATATTATGTCAGCCCTCTCACACTTTGAGCAGAAGACATTAAGGAAGACATTAAAGAAGTGTTGGTTATATTCATATAGCCCGGGGGGTCTTCAAACTTGACAGCTTTAAGACTTGTGGACTTCAACTCCCAGTAGTCCACAAGTCTTAAACTTGCCTATTGATATAGCCTATTGAAATGTAAATTCAAACAGCAACTTTGTAGCATGGAGCATTATGCAAATATAGCTCCTACATTTAATTTATAGACCTTACATTTAGTTCAATGCCTCATATGAAACCAAGCAACTGGATTGACAGATCAGTTAACATGGAAAAATGTTCTCTGTAACCAGACTGTTTCATAGATCTCTTTTATATTCCTTATCCTGAAAGGATGAATTATACTAAAGTGTTTCTATCCTGGCAGTGTCCTTATATAGTTAGTATGCTAGAATGAAACTCAAATGTACTTGCTTATTAATTCAAGCTGGAAAGTTCTAAATTTTAGGGACTATTATGAGCTGCCCAGAATTATATGAGATAGGCAGGCATATAAATAAATATATAAATCAGGACAATAAAAGTTAGTAGGTTTGGTTTGTTTGCTTGCAGGTCTCCACTGGTTTCTAATAATGGCTGCAGATGTTTATAAGAAGAAAGATGTGCCCAATGGATCCTTAGCACCGTCTGATGGACAGCAGTCCGAGAGGTCAGAGAGTCCAACCCCAGGACTGACCCAGGGAACAGAACCAGGTGAGTTACAGTAGACATATATTGTGCATTTTGTGTGGAATAATGTTATTATTACACACAACACACATATACAATCACGTTATTATTTTGGGGGTAGGGGATAAATAGACCTATGTCAAACTCAGAAACGGGTTAAGAAATAATAACCCAAAGAAATTAAGGAATGAGATAAAGAAAAGGTAATGTAAGTAAATCTAGTTGACACTAAAACCATGCATTATACTTCAGCTTACCTTGGTATTGTCACAGACTATTATTTCTAATATGCCAATTCACTGCTTCATACATTTTCTTTGATTTTTTTTTTAATCTTCCTTTCTGGGAACCTCATCAACTCCATTTAACATCTTTCTTAATCTTTCCTCTCCTGTTAATCCATTCACTCTTTTTTCATATATATGTGATATATTCAGAGAGTAGGGGTATGCATTATAATCAGTTCTATTTTAGATGATAGTAAGACCTTCTTTTTCTGTTTTTAATGAATATCTTTTTTGGTGAGAAGGACTTCTATATAGTGGTAGTTTATTAAGAAAAACAGGAGAGCAGCCAGAAAGCAGCAATCATTATTGCCTATAAAATCCAGTCAAGTGATCTATTTTCCACATGAAAACCATTCCAAAATAAAACCCTGCACAGAGAGCACCATAACCAATACAATGTGTAGAAATATTAAATGTAGTACACAGTCACACTAAAATGGCAACAAAACACTAATATTAAAAATTCAAAAACAATATTTCATATGCCTCGGAAAGTAATAGCTTTACCTGGGTCAAAATTATCATAATATAGATATAAGGTCAATTTCTCAGAAGATGGTATTTTGTGCAAATCAGAGAAAAAGTCTTTGCTACCTGCCCTGCCTTACTGGAGAAGCTGTTTCAGACAGCCTGATCGCAAGCTGTTTAAGTTTTATATGTTAATGTGTGAACATTTTGTATTGGGTCCAGAAATAGATGGACAGCCAGTGCAGATGGCAAAGTTATAAACGTATGATTACATCAACTCTAAAAATCCAACTAAATTGCTACTCAAAATCCTAGTCTCGGGCTGATATGAAAAAGTGTGGACATTTTCCTGGGTTTTATTAGGAAGAATAATAGTAACACATCTAAGCATGTAGCAAGAAAAGACTGGGGGAAAAACTACAAAACAAACATATCTTCATGGCACTGGGGAGGAAAATCATCTGGAATAATACATGAGCAGATAATCCTGATTTCAGATTCTGAGAGTAATTAATCCCAAATCATATATTTTCATAGAATGAAAACCACTGTTTCTGCTTAAATGGGTCATATTCCTATAAAGCTAGGACCCTATACTCTGAGATTCTTAACTTGATTTCAGATTATTATTGGGAATTTAATGCTCAATTTTTCTTTGACTGCTTTGAAATACTTAATACATCCAGCCTTCTTTGACTAATATATTAAATGTACCTAAGGAATATGCATGCCCTACTTAAGGAAGAGAGGTAATGAATTTCAATTCCTGGCTAAGAATTAAAAGCTTTTGAGCTCGGGTATTAGTTATCACATTCAAATATTAAAATTAAAAGATCTGCCAGTTTTACATTATTTTCAAAGGAAGAACATCCATTATGGTAAGGGTGGTATGGAATATTCATTAAAATAAATGCAATCTTCTAACCTTTAATATTTAAATGTAACCCCTTGTTCCTTAGTTAACACAAAGCACAGAAACAGAAATTTTAGCACAAGTTTAAAGAAAAATCATGATGTATTTACCATCTTACATAGGGCGATGCATTGAGGAGATTTGCAAGTCATTCTGTTCTGATGCCTTTGTCACAGCTTAAACTGTTACCTAGTTCTGTTCTGAAAAACTGACCACTTATTCTGATATTGTTTATCAGGGGCAGGCCAAGAGGGAGCCATATTTGTTCACACTAGGTCGTATGAGGACCTAACCGGTACAGACAATACAGAATCAGCACCCAAGAGCCCAGATGAGAGGGAAGAGTCTCAAAGTGATGAGCTGAAGATAGAAGAGATCAGTAAGGATTTCAGTGAACTAAGCACACAACTTACTGGTATAGCCCTGGACCTAGAAGAAGAGATAAGGCAGAACAGTGAAGACAATTTGGAACTCTCACCACAAGGTTCACGTCGAGATTCAGTCCTATCAGGGAAAGAAGAAGAAGATATAACCATGGAGGCCTGGCGCATGCATCAGAAACATATCTTTGTTCTAAGTGAGGCAGGCAAGCCCATATACTCACGATATGGGTGTGAAGAGGCTTTGTCTACTACCATGGGAGTAATGATGGCTTTGGTCTCCTTTGTAGAAGCAGAGAAGAATGCCATCAGATCAATTCATGCAGGTACTCATTCACTTCTTCCCAATGTAGTAGGCCTGTTGGAAAGTAGAATATGGTATGAGAGAAAGACAGAAGAAATGAGAGTCAGTCTTCTGCAGAGGTATCAGTATGACATAGTGATGACTTTTACACAAAACTATCAAAAAGGGTTCTGTAAGTTATCTATTTATTAAATGTACTCACATCCTATCACACTATCATCCGACTCTAGGCGGCTTACAATCTAATAAAACAATATTATAAAAGATTAAAACAATAAGACAATAAATACATTAAAATTAATAAAGAAATAATTTAAGATGGGCAGGGGAATTCGGTTGAACTTAACAAGTTTAATAAGTTGATAATATGCTATTTCATCTTTAGTTTGGCATCAGGTAAGGCCTAGATTAACGAAATAGAATGTTTCTGTAAAGAGCAGATCCAAAGTCAACTTATAATAAAACTGAGCAAAATCCATGTTCGGACAGAAGAACATGGCTGGATGCTAGTGTCCAACCTATAGGTGGAAGAGAATTTGTCAAAACTTCTTAAGTAACAACTTTCAAAACCTAAGAATAATGTTAATTAATTCCCATTACTTCTCATAGAACTAATAAACCTATAGTTTGTACCATTTTAGATTGCATCTCTAAAACATATCTAGCACACAAAGACCAATCGTTATCAGGAAATGGCAGTTCCCAAGAGTAACCCACACTGAAGTAGCTATTTTTCAAAAGAGACCTTAGGGTTACCACTATAGCTCGAAATATTGACGCACTTTCTCTCATTCTCTCCCTCTCCATTTTGACTCTTTGCCAGATGGTTACAAGGTGGTCTTTCTGCGCAAGAGTCCCCTGGTGTTTGTTGCAGTGGCTCAGACTCGTCAGTCAGAGCAAGAAATTGCTCAAGAACTCCTTTATATCTATTACCAGATAGTCAGTCTCTTGACATTGACTCAGCTTAACCGGATATTCCAACAGAAGCAGAACTATGATCTAAGGAGACTGTTAGCAGGCTCTGAGCGTATAACTGACAACTTGGTAGACCTGATGGCTAGAGACCCCAGTTTTCTCATGGGGGCGGCACGTTGCCTGCCTATGGCTGCTGGAGTCAGGGATGTGGTGAGTGCTTGCCTTCAACAAGCCAAAGCGAAAAGCCTGGTATTTGCCATCTTATTGTCAAAAAACCAATTGGTATCACTTGTGAGGAAAAGGGACCAATTCCTTCATCCAATTGATCTCCACTTACTCTTTAATCTCATTAGCTCATCCTCCTCATTTAGAGAAGGAGAAGGTTGGACTCCAATATGCCTTCCCAAGTTCAATTCCAATGGTTTCTTCCACGCTCACATTTCTTATTTGGAACCAAACGTTGACCTGTGCCTTGTCCTGATTTCTACTGATCGTGAGGACTTCTTTACTGTATCTCACTGCAAGCAAAAATTCCAAGAACACCTAAAGAAGCGTGGTGTTCATCGTGCTCTCTTGGAAGCAGTGCGGACTCCTTTCTACAGTGTCTCCCAGGTGGGAATTCCAGACCTTCGACATTTCATCTACAAATCTAAGAGTTCAGGACTTTTTACCAGGTGAGAGTCCATTCTGGGCACCACCCACCTTCCAGCTTCTCTCTAGTACTCTGCAAGGATAGATGGGATTGATTTAATCTGCGTTGATGGGTTCAATTTAGTCTGTGTTCTATAGTCTATTTCAGGAGAATGGCATCCATATTTAGCCTTGGGATATCTAGCTCCTACTGAATTAATAACACAGATTAAAGTACAAATTGATATGCACAATATTTCTCCAGGAAACAAAAATCAATTCCATCTTTTGAGTTATAGATATTTGAACTATCTTGCTAATAATTTGTTGTGTTTAACACTAGCCAGATTTCAAAACCCACTGTATAGTTATTTTAGTGAACAGCAATGAAAAGTTAACATGGATAGTCGGGTGCTGCTACAAATGAGAAAGACAATGTGGTTAATTGCATAATCCTATGGAAAAACAGCACCCAAGAACCTATGATTTCCCATAGAGTTTGTTGTCTAATTGAATAGTCTAATCACACTTTCAGGAGACATTTTATATCCTCAAGAGTCCAATATAAATTACACCTATAAATTAATTGTGAGGAGATAGGTAAGTACTGTAGATGCACTTTGAAAATATTGCTTGTAGAATCCTGTTCCCGAACTGACATGGGAGATAATGATCAAATCTGTCCTTCCGGTCTAGCAGTCTCTTCTGGGATGAAACAAAAAAAAAGTGAGTGTTACAGACAGAAAAGAGTACACTCTATTTCCACCTTCTGTATACAAATATCTATACCCAGTTTATGAAAAGTAGTCTCCAGGTTTGTTGAGTCACAGAGTATATTTTGCCTTCGTTGTGCTGAGGCCTACACAAGAAGTAAATAAGACCTTGAGAAAGAACCAGGCAAGATCAGAGAAAATTTAATTTCCTTTTACGACATCAAAACAACAATTTGGGTACACAAAAAATGCACAAAAGTTCAAAATCTTTATTATACAACAAATACCTTGATACAAGTTAGAATGTGTTCTTTTTTATTTATTTTTCCTTGCCAATCAAATAATTTTAATGCTGCTGATATCCTAAATTATAACTAATATTGAAAGACTAATGTTTTCTTTTCCTTATTTCCAGTACAAGTACTCTTAAAGTGTGTAAATAATAGAATGTCAAGAATTTGTCATTATAGCATATAAATATAATCATACTGTCTTTTAGACAGGTTCTCTACCTGATTTGTCATTTGTGACCCTAGAATTGTTAAGTCTAAACAAGGTCCTGAACGCAATTCTCAACAATATCTGATATTAATAAAATTTAAGCTCTAATAATGGTAGCTCATCCTGAAATTGGGAGTAGGGAACAACAAAAAATTATTTAGTAAAATCACTGGCTGTAAACTGCTGAAGTAAGAAATTTTCTCTTAGGCAAAAAAAAACCCTAGTTGTTTGATTTACCTTTATGACAAAAAGCATTATTCAATGAAAGTGTGTTTTTTCCAGCCCAGAGATCGAAGCTCCTTACATCACTGAGGAAGAAAAGGAAAGGCTCCTGGAATTGTATCAGTACTTGCATAGCCGAGCTCACAATTCTGCCCGTCCTCTCAATAACATCTATTATACTGGATCCAATGAAAATCTCCTGGCCTGGGTAAGAATCTATTTCATTACCGCGGCTTCTAGAAAAATTGTAGTAAAAGCAGGATTTAGTCTCAAATAACTTTATTACCTGGGAGTATTAGGGTATTAGTATAACTGAAACCTTGCACACTTCTTCACTTAGAGCAAATGGCCCAATGAAACATGGCAACAGTTATCTGTATGCAATGAAAACAATAGGGGCAATTTGCTTTGCATGTCAGCAGTAACATGAGACTCCCAAAGATGTTCTTTTAAGAGGCAACTGGGCTTTCTAGTTTTTCTTTGAAGACGTTTCACTTCTGATCCAAGAAGCTTCCTCAGTTCTGACTGGATGGTAGGAAATGGAAGATCTGAGGATGCTTCTTGGATGAGAGGTAAAACATCTTCAAAGGAAAACCAGAAAGCCCAGTTGCCTCTTGAAAAAGCACTTTTGGGACAACCATGAGCCAGATGACTGAGAATCTCCATAGACAAGTAACATGAGAGGAGTTGTTTTGCTCTGGTTGCATATCATAATAGAAGTTGAAACTTTTTCCAGGTGACCAGTGCTTTTGAACTCTACGTATGCTTCAGCCCCATGGGGACCAAAGCAGCAGCTATCAGTGGTGTCAACAAGCTGATGAAGTGGATCCGTAAGGAGGAGGACCGGCTTTTTATATTGACGCCCCAGACTTACTGACTGTTGTGACCTGGGCTGCCTGCCTTGTTCTGAACACTTCAAAACTTCTTCCTGTGTGTCTGGTGGGAGTAGACAGTCAGTTTCTTGTCTCCCCTCCCTCCCTCCCTCCCTCCCTCTCTCTCAGATTTCCTCCCCTCAATGGATATGGGGAAGGAGTAGCTCTTTGAGTAGAAGAGCTTTTGGCTGATATGGTGCACACGGGTATCAGAAGAGTCCAACATTTCAGGGTTAGTTTCAGATATTGCATCTAGAACTGGAACCTAGACCGCCTGCCATCCTGCAAGTTCTATTTCAATCTGTTTCAGCCTAGCAATATGTCCTTTCTACCATTTTCTGCATATTTTTTGAGGCTGTGTTAAACACAGCTATTTCTCCACAGCCGATTTTCTCTGCTGACTTTAGGAACATAGCGGCAGAAATATTAAGTTATCCCATCTCCCTTAATCTTAACTAATTGGGGGAAGGTAGGTTGATGGCTTAACAGGTTCCTTGTCATAGGATTTCCATATAAAGGGCTGAACAAATGCACAGAAGGTGAGGCAAATGTGTAGATAGTGAGGGAAAAAACATTTTTATGTCCCTTTTATAGGAAGATTAAAAAAAAACCAAGGAGGTTTTTTTCTTTTTATGACTCCAAAACATGTTTTGCTTTTTGAGACCAACAAATTTTAATAAGTTCATAGATTGTCTTCAGATTGCTAGTAAAGGAGTGAAATGTACTAGCAAAGACAATATATAAGTATTCTCAGTTGGAGGCAGTCAAATCCTCCAATAAGTGGCATGAATCTGGTAGTTGGGAAAATATTTTATAAATTATTTCCATTCCTTACAATGAATTTCTCCCTAGAACCCATTTATCTAATGCTTATTTTTAACTGGACCAAATTCGTGATTTTCAAGGTCTCGGTGAAACCATGTCCATGCTGTTATAGGCTGTGGAGTCTCTTTATTTAACAAGGAAACAAAAATTCAGGGAAGAAAGATCTGAATCATTGTTAATATGTGAATTTTCAAGCCTTACAATAATTTGGGCAAAAGAGCTAGATTCCACACTAGAGGTTCGAGAAACCCTGCAACTTTCAGGTGTGTGGACTTCATTTCCCAGGATTTCCTAACCAGATTATAGTTGCTGATATTGAGAAATACTAGTTAAACCTCCACAGTAATGCTTAAATAGGTTATTTCAATTCATGCCTATGCATCCGCTCCAGGAATAAGAGATGCCATTGTGAAAGTGGGCACCCTATGGTGGAAATCTCTTTACACCCATTCTTTAATTATAGGAATTTTGAACACAATGAACGTCTGATCCCACAGAAAGCTAATTTGGCATATGGGATCTTTTTGAAATGATACTGAAATGGTACAACCTCAGAAATAAGTTTGCCAATGATTTCGTCATTTTTCAGAACACTCCAAAATAGTATACTGTCTACTTTTCAGAATAGAACTTTTCAACATTAATATGTATTGTGGTATGTACGTGAGTGGAGGGGGAAAGGGTCTTTGAATGTTGGAAAAAATTTCTGACAGTAAGAGCAGTATGACAATGGAACCAGTAACTGAGAAAGATGTTATGTTCTCCTTCCCTGGATGTAACTTCACGGGGGAATTTAGAAAGCTGTCTGGTGAGACTACTTTATTTGGATTACATATCGTGAAGGCAAGGGTAGGATTCAAATTTTTTAACAACCGATTCTGTGGGCATGGCTTAGTTGGTGGGCGTGGCTTGGTGGTCATGTGAGCGGGTGGATGTGGCTTGGTGGTCATGTGAGTGGGTGGGCGTGGCCAACTCAATATCACTTACATCGAGGCATGCATCTCCTCGCCTGGCCTCTCATGACTGTGTGGATGCTACAACAGTCATAAGTGTAAAAAATGGTCATAAGTCACTTTTTTCAGTGCCACTGTAACTTTGAATGGTCATTCCACACAAGCAAAGTACCAACAAAGGAGGGGGAAAAACTCCAGAGAAGTTCTTGAGACAGGATGTCTAGTCCTGCCAAAAATGTAATAAGGGTTAACGGAGAGGCAGTTTCTGTAAGCAACACCAGAATGTTTCCTTCCTGCCTTCTTTACAGGATTAGGCCAGTAATTTCTTCTAACAACCAGTTCTCCGAACTGCTTAGAATGGTAACAACTGGTTCTAGTGAATAGATGTGAACTGGTAGAATCCCACCCCTGATTGAAGGGTTGGATTAAATGGACTTTTCCAGTTCTTACATCTATATATGTTTGTATGTTGGGGGCAGAGAAAGGAGAGAAAAAATGATCACCAAAGTCATGATAGGGTTCTTCCAGATATGACTGCAGATCAATTAAGGGAAAATGACCCCACCAGCCACACCCTACACTCCTGCATGTGTTCAACAATGCCAGATCTTTGATTCTAATTGCTTTAGTATTTCTTTTTAGATTTTTGTATTGCCTTTTTTTTTCTATGTACAACTAATGGTGGCAAACATACCAATATTCCTTCCTCATCTTTTTTCTCTACAATAGATGTATTAAACACGCAGCCCGCAGCCCAAATCCAGCCCGTGATAGGCCCAGAGTTATCCTGCATTGCCATCCTGGAGACGGCAAGGGATTGGCCTGTGACGCCCTTACCCCGGCCCACCCCACCCATGCCCACCCAATCAGCCATGATGACCAGGCCATGCCCACCTCAGCCCTCCAAAGACAAAAATCCCGGTACAGCTTGCAATGGGATCGAGTTTGACACCCCTGCTCTACAACAACAACCCCGTGAGATGAGTTGGACTAAGAGAGATGGTTTAAAGTCACCCAGCCAGTTTTTCATGCCTAAAGTAGGACTAGAACTCCCAATCTCCTGGTTTCTAGGCCAACAGATTAACCATTATGCCAAACTGGCCCCTTTTTTCTATTTTTAGTTGTATACTGTAAAGTGCAACTAAACTGTAACATTAAATGAAACAGAGATCCAGTGAAATTGTACATGTCCAGCGATGGTGTCATGGATATCATTCGGACCATTCTTGGATCTATGGTTTTATCTGGAAAAGGTTATTATGTGTGATTCAGGGGGAAATGTTTTTAACAGATACCTCTAAAAAAAAAATCAACACACAATTGCCACAAGATGGCAGCAGAACACCAGATTATGAAAAATTTCTTAAAGATTAATAGATATTAAAAAGTCATACAGTAATAGATGCAGAATAAATTACTATTCACAGATGCATTTTCCATATTTACAGCCTACGGATTCAGTGTCCCGTATATTGCTACTTCTCTGAATTTAATAAGAGTTGTATGGGACCTTTTAGATTAACAAATATACTATGTCATCAGATTTCATGAAGTTCCACCAGTTCAATAAATACTAAAACAATACTATGTGCTGTAATAAATTAAAGTGTGAGAAACCCTTTGTTGTTTTAACAAACTAGCACATCTGCTTGTGTTAGTTCAATATGTAACATAATGGGTAATGAGTAGTGATGAAAAGATGCACAGGAAGTTTGAATGGTAAAGTTGTTTCTAACAATAAGAACAGTTTGACAGTGAAACCAGTCACTGAGAAACATGGTAGGAACTGTAGGAAAGTAGTTGAGTTAAAAATCATGAGATGCTGAAACCCTCCATAGATTTGCTGCCTTTAACTTATTCTTCAGAAGTTTTAAATTTTGAGATTCCAAGATAATAGAATCCCCATTATGAACACTTCAGTTGCCCAGTAGGAATTCTTTCCCATATACTTTACATAAATATTTAATGTATTGTATATACTTTATGTATGATATAAATACTTAATGTATTATGTAGTATTTCAATTAAGCAAAATATGCCATTTGAAGTTTCTCACTGCCACAACCAAGTCACATTTCACAATCACACTGTTTTTACTAACACTTGCTATATTACTAATAAAGGAGAATATTTGTAGCTCAGGGTTGACATGAGGGGTCCTTGGTGCTCTCTGTGGGTGCTTGTTTTCTTGCAGACATTTAATTACCTAAACTAGCACTAGCACTGATGATGTTATCTAGTTTGGTAATGAAAAGTCTGCAAGGAAACGAGCTCAGAGAGCCCCAAGGACCCCTTGCTTGCTACATTATTTGTTGATTCAATGTTATGAATATTTATTGCATCAAATGTCCCAATGCTTGGTTTACTTTAGTAAAGTCAAGCAATTTTATTTTAGGGACATAAGAGCGGTTTACAAATACTTCACTTTTGGTTTGTGGGCTCTTTGTTTCTGTTCCATGTTTTTTGATTCCTTTTAAAAGTAAAAAGAAAAACAGTAAATTTAAAGACAATTTGCCGCATATAAGAATGATTAACAATGCTAAGCAGCTAATATGCTAATAATGCAGTAATATGCATTAAAGTGGCTGTCTAATGAAACAAACTTTAGCTTTAGGAAAATATGAAGAAAATCCTGTTCCCGAACTCAGATCTTCAGATATCAATCAGCAGGTTCACAAACTAAGCCATACTGTGGTTTGTCTGTTCTTAACCTAGCATGCTAAACAAACCTTGTCGATGAGGTCACAAAGCCATGATTTATGCCAACATAGTATATTCAATAAAACACAGTTAAACCCTGGTGGAAGAACATTTTGTTCTCTTCTGAAATTGAGAAACCTTTCACAGAAAGAGAGAGGTAGCATAGTAAGTTATGGGGTGCCTATGACTGAAAAAAAAATAAGATGTCAACTTCATCACAATGCCAATTAAAGAACACAACTATGGCCTTCCACCCCACTGAACAACAAAACATCTCATTTCAGTCTTTCAGACAGAGGCCATGTGGTTCATTTATGAGTCAGTGTGTTGCGGGGGGGGGGGGGGGTCAGAAATTGGGGAAATAATGTGCCAACACAGCCCCTGCTGCTTTTGAGTGGTGAAGAAATCAATCCCTTCACCATACAATAATATCTAAGGCATGAACCCCTGTCACCTGTTTCGTAATCCTCAGACCAGTTAAGAATTATGCTTTCCATGAAGTTTTATCATCCACAGGTTTATGCTGGGCAACTGTCTATACATCTTTAACAAGCAAAGGACATGGTGATGAGAGGTTTCCTTGTCTGAAGTTTCAGCCCCACCTAACAGTCTATACGCCACTATCTCCTTCTCTTAACATGCACGACTCACTGGTTAATCCATGCACTACCTTTTTTTTCCTTTCCCATAATATTATCCACTGTCTGACTTTATTGGTCTTTGAAACGATGGGTCAACAATTCATCCTATAGTTCCATGCATGGCAGCAAAGATTTAGTTTAGATTGTGGTGCATTTTGCAGATGCCACCTAGTGGTCAACCAGAACAGTTGAGCCACCAGAGAAATTACAGCCACCAGAGAAGATCTATTGCAGAGCTGGAGGCTAGGAAAAGAGTTCAGTGGGGGACCTGAACATTGTTTGAAGAGAGAAAGAGAGGAGGTGAGGTTCCTGGAAGTAGCAGCCACATGGAAGAGAATTCTCTGCCTGGAAGGCTGTAGGAATACTATAAAAGACAAGTCCTTTCCTTTACACTTTCAATTACAGGTAGTCATCATTTAGAGGCTGCCTCATTTAGCAACCACGGTGCCACGGTGGTGGAAAAATAACTTTGCAACCAATCCTCACATATGTAACCTTCGCCGGACTTTAAAGCAAAGGAAAACCAAAGTCAGATCATAAGTACAGTCGCAATTTCCCTTAGCAATCCCGTTGTTTATGACCAAGTGGCAGATCCCAGTTGTGGTCACTAAATGAATTTTATCTGCCTTTGCACCGAGTCAGGATCAAGCTACTTGATTTCAAGACTTTCCATCTTCTAAGGTGACCAACCATCCTCCTTTAGGGAGGACAATCCTCCTTTTGTAAGATCTCTCCTCTCTCGAAAAGTGTCCTCCTACATGTCCTCCTTTTTGATATTGGAAGACTAATCTGTAAATCTCTGTATTTGATCGATGTCGATCCGATCCGTTGTGTGTGATGTGATGGATTTGTATTTGACATGGCGATTCGTCAAGGCTCGGTACAGTGCAGTGAGATGCGATTATGAGACACATGCGCTCCACACAGGATAATTGTTTTGAGAGAGTGTGCCATGCGCAAGAGTGTTACACACGCAAGTGGCTTTGTTGTTTTTCTTCAATTTATTGTAAAAAAGTTGGTCACCTTACTTCTTCTAGGTCAGGGGTGTCAAACTCAAAGCTCATAGGCCGAATTCAGCCCGTGGGGTGCTTAAATCTGGCCCATGGTGCCAGCCTGAAAATATCAAGGGGCCAGCCCATGGTGCCTCTGGCAGCTAAAATGGGCTGTATGCAGGTGCCCCCCCGCCTCATTTTCACCCTCCATGGCCTCCTGCAGCACTCTGTAGGAAGAAACCAGGCCCAAAATGCCTCAAAACTGGGGCCCACACCCCATTTTGGCCAGCAGGCTGCTCCGATATGCATGCGCACGTGCCTCCTCCTGGCCAGCTGGTCTTCGGGTCTCTGCTGTGCATGCGCGGGGGGGCAGAACACATGCACAGGGGCAGGGAGCATGCATGGGAAATGCATGCATGGGGGCAGGGCACATGCACAGGGGCAGGGCATATGCACAGGAGTGGGGCGCATGCATTGCATTTTAGGTATGCACGCGTGCGCTTTGGGCACTGGGTGCCAAAAAGGTTTGCCATCACTGGCCTATCATCTAGT